TCTTGCTCCTGAAAGTTGACTCAACAGCAAGCATATGGTGCAATCATTTAAAGGTTTCTTTTTCATCTGCCTGTCACATGATGCTGCCATTAACGAAAACCTCAGCTGAGGCTGCTGAGCAAGAAGCTTCCCATGGAGCCTCATGTGGCCTCCACTTCTTTATGATATGGTGGCATCGGGGAATCAGATTTCTGGTGTGGCAATTCAGAATGACAAAAACAATGCACTAATTAGACTGGTGGATGTTTTGTGGCCATTCCTGACATAGGCTCCTGACATAGCCTTTCTGCTTTAGTCCCCTGACTTAAAAGCTGATTCAAATTCAAGGAGAAAGGACCTAGATTCACATCTCAGTGGGAGAATACTGAGCCTCAGGTAAATGACCATATAGAGTGAACAATATTATGGTGTCTCGTTTGGGAAGTTATAATCCCCCACATATGTCAATTTAGACTAACTGAATTTCCCTGTGTGAATTTTTTTGTGTGTGTGCCTTATAGAAAATGGGCAGCAAACCATGGACCTGTGCCTGTTTCTATAAACAAAATTTTATTGAAATAAAGCCATGCCTATTCATTAGCAAAGTTGCATAGCTCCAAAAGAGACCATATGTCCTAAAAAGACAACATTATTAATTCTCAAGTCTGGGCAGTTTGCTAACTCTGTAATAGAATATTGATTAAGGATGTGGGTGCCAAACTATACTACTAGATTTCAAATATCCTTTTTGACACAGGCTCACATGTGTTCCAGGAAATTCTGACCCTCCTACTACTACCTCTTAAGTGCTGAGAATGTAGGCCTGCACCACCACACTTGCTTTATATAGTGCTGGGTATTGAGTCCATTGCTTTAAGCATCCTTGGGAACACTCCCAACTGGGCTCCATCTCCTAGCTGTGTGTTTTAGAACAAATGCTAGACATCTCTTGACTGCCATTTTCCAGTCACTGTAACTGAAAAAACAATAAAGTCTGACATTGAATTGTGAGCATCAAGTGAAATAATCCACTAAATGGATACAATAAGCAATCACAAATGCTAATTTTCATCATCAATATTGGCTTTAAATATCAGCTATATCAACTGCCAATTGGGTTATGTGCTTGTATCCAATATCACCTTCTACAGTTTTCAGTGTGTCTAGTGAAGTAGGAAAGCCCATTTCATCTTTATTTGTGTAATTGGGAATTTCTCCTTTGGCGCTATCAATGCTGGTAACATTTCCATGAAGTTCTACAAAAATTTCTATTCCAGCCATTCAAATACATGAAAAGTCTCTGGATTTTAGCTCCATAACTTCTGTTCATTCCATCCTTTCTCATTAGAATCCCCTTCCCTTTGGGGTAATTCTCTTTAAAAGTCATTTCTCCAGGAAGCAGCAAAATGTGTTGGACATGCACAGAGCCCAGCTTGACCCCTGAATTCTCCATACTCTTCCAGTACTTTAGGTCTTGACTTCTCCTGCTCCAGAAGAGTTCTTCTGATGGGTTATTAGGCTGGTTGTTTATGTCACTGTCATTGTTGTTTGTTTTTGTTCTCTTTCTTATATCCTGGAGTAGCACATTGTATTTACCCCTATATGTTTAATTTTACACTCTGGCCTCTTCAGATTTTTTTCAGATACCTTGACTAGTGACTAGAGTTTTGAACTTTCACTGCCCCTGCCAGCCTTATGCCACCATGTGTATTTCCAATGTCTCAGCCTAAGTCACTCCTCAATATTCCATCAGGTTGAACTCAATACCATGAGTTGTCTAAACCCAGTTAGAGTAGCTGAGCACCATTTTAATAATTACACTGGCTCCCCTCGGACTCCCCAGGGGAGTTCAACCAGTCTCATGGTAAGGTGTCCTGCCTCTGATTTAGAAAAGTTGAAAGGAAATATGCATATACATGTTTTTGGAGCTGACTGTTTGGCATTGAACAACCAATTAGTTTGCTCTTCCCAGGGGAAGGCCACCTCTCCGACTCTCAGCTTTACTCCCTGTCTTATAGTTCTTTGTGTAGGATTGAGTCCTCTTGAGATTTTTTCCCCTGGGCAGTTTGGTGTGCTTGTTGGTGTTCTCTTTGTCCAGCTCATGTGCTGGGAGGCCATGTTGGTAAGACATTACAGGTATAGCTTATGGTGTTACTATGAAACATAATGTAGAAGCAATATCCCTGATCCTCTGGCTGTTACAATATTTCTACCCCCTGATCTGCAATGTTCCCTGAGCCTTAGGTGTGGGAGTGTTTTGTAGATCTATCCATTGAGACTGAGCTCCACAAGTCTGGATAGTAATTGGTTGTGGATTTCTGTAATAGTCTCTTTGTCTATTACCAAAAGAAATTTCCTTGATGAGGGCTGAAAACTACAGTTATATGTGGGTATGGAGACACATGTTTATATATTGCAGTTAGGTGTTGTGCTGGCTTAGCAAATTAGCAATTGCAGATTCTCCTCCAGTTATGTTAGCAAATAACATAAGCCATGAAACCCATTCTCGTTACACTGTCTCTAACCTTTCATTTTTTTCTTACAGAGAAAATTGGTAAAAGCATAGCTTTGTGAAGCCTAGATTTATGTTTTGATAGCTAAATTATTTTATAGTATACAATCTGCTAGGTTAGTCCATGACTATGTATCTGTCCACATGACTTGTCATAGTGAAGTACAATACAACCAGTTAATTGTTTTATGGAATTTAAGTATAAAATCTAAATACATGTATTTCCTGAATTCATATCATGCACCAGTCATATGTGCCTAAGACAAGACTGGTAGTGAGGGGGAATGAGAATGCAACACTAATTTTAAAATTAACCCTGCTGCAAGTATCTGAATCTAGATTCAACATGCAGCATGGATAAGTTTGTATTTCATCACTGACTTCAATGTTTTGAAAATTCTACCTTTACAGAATCAATTTTTAAATATATTTTAAATGATTTTGATAAAATTGTCAAAGGCATGTCCATACCAAAAAGGTATCTAAGCATTAAATTCTGGTTCAATTTAATAATTTTGATTAAAATCTTCTAGAATGAAAAAAAAATGCCAAGATACTATCTAGAAAGATAGTTTTAGGGAACTAGTGGTTTTTGCTGTTGTTGTTCTATGCATTTGTGAATCTAGATTTTAGGTTTTTTTTTTCTTGGTTAGCCACCTACAACAGAAATTATTCAATTGAGACCTTAGGAGAACTGTAGGAGGCTGGCAAGATGGCTCCATGCTTAAGAACAATTACTACAGGCTGGAGTAATGGCTCAGCAGTTAAGAGCACTGACCGTTCTTCCAGAAGTCCTAAGTTCAATTCCCAACAACCACATAGTGATTCACAATCATTCATCCATAATGAGATCTGGTGCCCTCTTCTGGCTTGTAGGCATACATGCAAATAAATAAATCCTAAAAACAAACAAACAAAAAAAAGAATATAGGCATCACATCCTAAGGGGAAAAAACATAAAGTAAGATAAAATAAAAACAAACAAACAAAAAAAAAAAGATAGGATAACACAATCTTCTTGTCTCCACATTGTCTCCACAGATACTCAAGTTCACACACAAACACACTCACACACATAGTATAAAAATATAATATTTTGAATGAGGTACCCCAGTCACAAAAAGATAACATAGTATGTACTCACTCATATATGGATTTAGACCTAGAACAAAGGATCATAAGCCTAAAATTCACACTGCCAGAGAAACTAGGATATAAGGAGGAACCTAAGAGATTCATACAAAGTCCCTCACAGAAGGGGAAAGGGACAAGATCTCCTGAGCATATTGGGAGTGTGAGGGGGCAATGAGTGGACAGGGAGTTAGGAGAAAGAGAAGGGGAGGAATGAATAGACGAGAGCAAAAAAAGAGATACCATAATATAGAGGGAGCCATTATAGGTTTGAAGAGAAAACTTGAGTCTAGAGAAATGTCCAGACCTACAAGGATGACCCCACCTAACAATCTGAGTAACAGTGGAAAGGCTACCTTAAATGCCCTTCCCTGACAATGAGATTGATAGCTAACTTATATGCCAGCATAGAGTCCTCATCTAGTAGCTGATGGAAACAGAAGCAAACTCCCACAGCTAAACACTGAGCTAAACTGGAATCCAGATACAGAGAGGGAGGACAAGACCAGGCTATAGAAACCCACAGAGACAGCTGACCTGAACAAGGGGGAGCTCATGGACCCCCAGACTGATAGCTGGGAATCCAGCATTGGACCAACTCAGACCCCCTGAACATGGATCTCAGTTAGAAGGCCTGGGCTGCCTAAGGGACCTCTGACAATGAAACCAGGATATATCTCTGGTGCATGAAAGGACTTTGTGAGCATTCCTCATGGAGGGATACTCCCTTAGCCTAGAGGAAGGAGGGAGGGCTAGTCTGTAAAGAGTAGTGTTTTTCTGCCCGCCGCTGTTGGTCTGGTCCCGCTGCTGCGCCAGCCCCAATTAACACACTGAGACTCTGTATTTGATATTATGCTGTTGGCCAGTTACTTGTTTCTTATAGGCTAGCTCTGTCCTAACTATTAACCCATTTCTATGTATTTCCAATGGTCTTATGTGGTCTTCTTACCGGGGAAAGGGACCAGCGTCTTGTCTCCCCAGTCTCTCCATCTTGAGTCCTCCCCACTACTTCCTCTTTCCTCCTTATCTCCTAGTCCCTCCTATCTTCGTTTCCTATTGACCAACAGTGCTTTATTCATTAACCAGTATGAGAAACATATATACATAGTGGCATCTCCCATCACTAGTCCCTACTCCAAATGACTTGACAGATTTTGATGATCCTTCTTGGAAGACATCACCCTCCCTGTGGAGTGGGGGGGGGGATGAGATGGGATGGGACATCAGGGGGCATGAAAGGGAGGGAGAGTAAGCTTGGATTGATATGTAAAATAAGAAAAATAATAAATATATATAAAAATAAAATATTTTCTTAGAAAAGAAAATGTGCAAATGTTTTGGTGAAATTTACCCTTCTCTTTTATTTTCTCCTCTTTAGGTTTGGATGTGTGGAGGAGAAATGTTTGATGTTCCATGTTCTAGAGTTGGTCATATCTACAGAAAGTATGTCCCTTACAAAGTTCCGTCTGGGACCATCCTGGCACGAGTGAGTAACTGGGCATCAGAAGAGTCTGGGCTCACCCAGGCTCTACTTCCTGCAGTGGGTACTCAACCATACACCTGGTTGTCAAGAATCCCTGTTTCTCTGCTTTACCTCCATTGTTTAAAGAAGTAGTAACTGGGATGGTTTTTGTCATGTGTCACAGCATCTGCACATGTGTTGTATTTAATATTAACCATTACCTTCTGCTAATCCTTGTTAGCAGCTTTAAATATCAATTAAGTAAGCCACCAGTCCAGGTTATGTGCTTGTCTCCAGTATAAACCTACTGCAGATTTCAAGACCATGTGGAGGCTTGCACATGAGCACATGAATGACCAACAAGAGTAATGTAAAACCAGGCCTCCCCCAAAATGGAATAAAATAGATGAGGAAGTACAGGCTCAAACTCAAGTTTTTCCTCCTTTAGAACTAGAGTTAATGCTAGATATAGATTTAGACCATGTTCAAATTTCCCATAATTAACCAAGTCTAATTTTGTTTCATTTGTGTTTTGTTTGTTTTGTTTTGTTTAGAATGCAATTTTTCTTGTTGATCAAATGCAAGGATGCTTTTATCATCTGCCTTTTAGAAGCTTCTATGCGTGTTTGGGAAGATATAAAATTACAAACCTTCTCCAGACAGCCCTAATGATGTCTCTGTCCTCCATGTTGTTCTCTTCTTGGTTGTGTCTGTTCTCTTCACCACATTACATATGTGCTACAAATATAAAAGCATAGTGTTTTCCAGATGTATTGGTGCTATAATCCCCTAGAGATCTAACTTTGAGTTGCTTGTTTTGGTTTCTTTACTAAAGTGCAATGTATGACCACTTGAGTATTTTCTACACAATTCAATATATAATTCAAACTGAAATGACCACTTTTTTGTAAAACATATTATTATTATTATGAATTACTTCACTAGGATTCATTCACATATCAGTCTCACAAAGGCAGAGCTTTGGGTTTGTTATTTTACATTATGTCATCATCTAAAATACAGCTTAGAGAACATTCAGATAACTTATTGAAGAGTTTAATTAATTAGACTTCTCAAGGACAAAACATAGACTCAAGTTGTTAATAAAACTTAAGACATTTTGATGAACTTTAATAAAATTATCATCCTTAGTAAATTCCTTCAGGCTCCTGTTTCTCCTCCCTTGCTTTGTGAGGCTGTCAAAAGCATTCATGTTTTTTCTTTACCCACACCCACAGTCCTTTTAAAAGTAGTGAGGCATTCTAGAATGAAATTACATTTCACATTCCTTAACGAGAAATTATCATCATACCACTCCCTGCTTCCTCCAAAATAGGAAGATATTAATAATGCAATGCACTGAATGTGTGCTTAAAAACACTATTTGGGGGAAAAACAGTCATGAAATCATAAACAGATTAAAGTGCTACATTTTGAATAAAGAAATATAGTTTAATTTAGTCAAAGGACTTAATGCATATGAATGAGGAAGCAACGCAAATCAACAGGAAGGTTAATGAGTAAACAAATTCAAGCACACATTACAAATCAGCTGTGTGGATATCATTGCAGTGCAAAAATCCTAAAGATAATAAATGATGTCTTGCCGTTTGTCAAGACACCACTTTCTGTCACTCATTCACTTCATTTATGGGTGGATGGTGCATGTGGCCAGCTCAGAGTGTAAAAGATGAGTAGGAAAAGCAATGTTGATCCAAAAAGAGGTTGTTTGCAAAAAAAAATAAAACAGCTCATATATTTTGGGAGATTAATGAGGCACTTTGTCAAAAACTGTCAAATATGGGGAAACTAGGGTTGCCACATAAACCATCCAGGAAAAAGTGAATATTCATTCAAATGGAAGGAGTCCATAACTCTGAATTTTAATCTTTCCCACTTAAATTTTACTTGAGGGCTCATTTTTGTTTTGTTTTTTTTTCCCCCTAAACTGCTAGAGCAATCAGAAAGTCATAAATATTGAGGCTCAAATGTCACTCTGAGGAACATTTTATGATCTTCTGAAGTATATTAAAATAAAAAACAATTCTGGTATTTTGTGGGAGAGACTCAGCTACTTTGCCACACTCTGCTATGACTAAATCATCACAAAGATTGAGAAATGCAGAGTCACATCCCATCGGTAGATATTTTAATCTCCCTGGCCTCGTTAGGAAATGGAGATGAAGCTGGCAACGTGACCCCAAAGGCTTGTTTATGTACTTTACAAAGCTCATTTAATCCTGTGAAAATGTGTACTTTTCATTTACAGACTTACGAAACTGATGATTCCAGATGCCTCCAAATACACAGAGGTGTAAACCCATGCTCATGCATGCACACACGTGCACATGCACACACACACAGGCTGAAGTCCTTTAGTCAACACACTAGTGTATATTATTCAAAACAAATTCAAATAACCTTATTCATCACTTTCTCTTTAGCACTGGTCTCTGACAAGAAGACATGACATAAGTTACCCATCTGTGAAACACATGATAACAAATGATTCTCCACATTTTCAGGAAACATGTGTCTTAACATCAGCAGGAGGGGCAGTGCTATTGTAGTTCTGAACTTCAGATTTTGCAAATAAAAAGCTTAAAAGAATTAAGGACACCTCAGTTTGACTAACAGATTTCTTTTTTTTTTTAATTTTGAGTTATTTATTCAAACCATCTCCTCTTGTAAGCAAAGGGATGCTGGAAGATCGCTGTAACAGTCACCATTTGATACAAGGAAAGATGAGCTTAGTGCTCCTATGGTCTTTTGTGATTCACTCACAGAGTAATGGTCCAAACCAGTGCTGTGGTCCCTTGTTGCCTGGGGAAGATCCAGGTTCCCTTTACTCATCTTCATAACCAGTCTGAAGTGGGTTCACATGAGGATTGTGGTAGAGGCTATGGTTACCATCTCCCCAGGGGAAGAGCTTGGTCCTGATGAGGAGATAAGGGTAGGCAAAGAACATAGTGCTCTCTGTGTTGCCACTTCAGGAAGAGGTTGAGCATGCTCACTCCCATCTCAGGAATGCCAAGAAATAGGTAAGGGCCTTCCACATGCAAGCTAAACCCTCTTCACCATGAGTGTCACTCGACATGGGCCGCCCCAACCATGGGAGGCCACAGCCCAGCAGTCCAGAAGCCCCTGATGCACACACCACCACCACCATCTTGGTACTCAATTAACAGATTTCTAAGAATGGGGATTCAAAATTCAGAACCAGTAACCAGAGTCAACTTCTAGCCATGTTTTCACCCAGTCCTCAGTGAACCGAGATGAAATAAGAATCATAAAGTGGTATTTTTGATCTACCAATATAGGTTGTATGCATTAATATAGAATTCTCTCTTACTGTGGGGTTCAAGGTAGTCAGTTTGTCATTGTTAATGCCCTTGTTGTGTAAAAGCAAAAATTAACCCCCTCTGTGTCATTTCTTCAAAATGGAAAAATCTGGGACATGGTGACTTACTGATTGTTTCATATGGGAATCGGAGGGTTTCCTTGACATTCAAAATCCTGTTTAGTTTCTGAGTCGACCTTGGGATCTAATGTCAGCATACTGGAGCACAACCTTGGCATCTTCTGCCCAGAGTAAATGAGGAATCCCTAGAGAAAGGATAACCCTCTCTACAGTTGTTGACAATAGAAGACTCAAGTGTTGTGACAATAATCGCCTGCTCCAGAATGGCAGTGGCTGTGTTCAACACAGGACAATGAGCAGCAGAGGTCAGCTGAAAAATGTGTTGCCCTAGGCTGAGAAACAAATGGGCAGAAGGATCCCAAGTCCAACTTCTCTTTCTGACAAACACTGCTAAGGCAGGAGTAATGACTAGCACCTTGGGGACTGTGGGAATGGCCTTTGACTCTCTTGTAGCTGCCAGTGTGTTCTGAGATCTTCAAAGTTACTAGGTTTGAAGGAGGTACTCAAACTGTAAAGATGTGGAAAGAATAGCAGTCACCTCACCGCAAACCACCCCAACTGACTATAGCATCATAGCAGCATCATGGCCCTGGGAAGTTTCCCTAGGAAGGTCCCCCAAAGAGGACAACTCTATAGACTGTGATGTGGGCAGTCCTGGAAGTACAAACTGCCATCCTTCCTGCTCATAGGAACCAAGTGTGAGAGAGGGGCAAACTCATGTGTCACATGCATGTACATGGGTACAGGGGCCAGAGATCCACCCCCCAGTGTAGTTCCTCACTTTGTCTGCTGAAATAAGGTCTCTCCTGGGACCTGGACTGAAGCATTAGTCAGCAGGCCCTGGGGACCCACCTGTCTCCACACACCTAACCCTGGGATTGCAGGTGTGTACTACCATGCCTGGCTTTTAGGTGGGTGCAAGAATCAAACTCAGGCAGGCCCTTGGGCTTGCACAGCCAATGTTTTGCCAATTGAACTGTCTCCTTAGCACCAAGACTAGAAACAGTCCCTATCCTAAGTCTGTAGAGGCATGTCAGTCAGGACTTCATACCGTGACATTTTACCTTTGATGTGCCAGGAATTTATTTTTTACTCTAAAATTTCATCTTGACCTTAATGATAACCACTCAAAAATGTGGGGGAATTTCGATTTTTGCAGATTTCAGGATAAAAAGCTAAAACCAAAGAAGTGAAATCTGGCTTTAAAAAGGAGGGGGATTATGTTTTCCAGAATGTTCCATAATCCTGGGAAGTGGCAACTCATAGCACTCACAGCATAAAAGGGACAGTGATTAAATAAATAGACTTGGGATTGTGAGCCAAGATCTGTGTCAAAACATCCCTTGGACTTCATGGTGGAGGTGCGAAAGGGGCAGGCACAAGGTTATATCAGACTGTATCAGAGACCTGTGAGACTGACCCATGAGTGCACAATGGAGGGAGAACCCTAGAGGTCTCTGCACCACAAGGCCCATCCTCCTCCTTCAGACTGGGAGGAGGAACTGATGGTTTTTAGACAGGAGGGATCAGAAGAAATGCACGTAGAATAAAATTGAAATACCAACCAACACTGAAGGAGAATGAGAGTAAAGAAATCAACATT